TGGACTTGCCTCTTTCTTGCAGCAATGTCTTCAATTGTCTTGTCAGTACTCGCTTCCAATCCCTCATAATTTACACGCGTTATTGGCCCCTCAAGATACTTTTGTAAAAAAAAAAGATTACATTCAAGATAGATGAAAGCTGGCTTAGTTGAGACTGAGACACCCTATATACTTTATGAGAATTCAGGAAAAAGAGAACAGATAGTCATGTGTGAACGTGACCAGGAAACAAAGATAAAGTCACGTCTTCAGGAACGTCCCGAAGAAAGGTGTAGCTAATGGTGGAACACTTTTAACCTTACATTACATGACGGGATGGGTCTCAAACATCACTTTATTCGCTTTGAATGTTCCACAAATATCTACTACAGTTTTAGTCATTTATAAAAAGATTTATAAAACAATAAGCGGCTTTAAACAAATATTCGCGCAGAGGAAGAACTTTGCGTTGTAAATCCAACTTAATTTTTTGCAATAAATTGTATGTTCATTGAAAATTGTTGTACTTTCAGATTTTGCGATAGACATTGTCACAATTTTCACCCAACTTCAATTTTAAGTGCATCAAGTCAGGTTAAATGCTCGAATCTTGAAATTTGCCACTTGCCATATTTTGGGAGGATAATCTTTCGTAAGCTACGAAGATCTGCAGCTAAGCGAAATTAAGCTGTATAAGAATTCTGATTTTATAGACGATCGAGCAAAATATTCAAACCAAACGGGAGAGAAGGAATCGCAAAGGGTATAATAAAAATTATATTATTACAATGATGGACTCCTTTATCAATACTTTTGCAATGTAATCATAGCTTTCAGCCGTAAAAATAACAATGGCGATAAAAATCTTTTCTTCTTCCTTCCATTGTCACAGCACCGCGCGATTGATAATGAAAATCGTTCCTACTTTACTCCGTCCTAATAGCGCCGGAGTCGCATTATAATCCGGAGAATTGGATTTGGTCACTTGACATGAAATCGCACTTAGTTGCAATTGTACTATATAAAAGCGAAGCGTGGACGGTTCTAGCGCGGATACGTATGCACATAGAACGTGTTTCGTTTTATGCGTATACACGCGACACACATCCGTACGCTCTACAATACACGACTCGAGCTGAAATCAAGCCCGGACATGATCCGTCCACGTTTACACGCGAGCAGACACGTAATCTATGCCGTATATACGTTAGATGAGCTGCAGCTAGCGTGTATAAAACATTAAAAACCCAGTTGAAATCTGGGACAAGAATCACGTTATAAAACGCTGAGTGTGCAACCGCAGTCTTTTCCATTGCAGTTCTCTTGAATTATTAAATCAGACTAAGTGTGTGATGAATGAAGTTTCAATCTTGGGCCGAGTAATCCACTTGAAATTAGAGAAATTACTTTTTCCGCTGTTGATTCGCGTCGAAGCTCGCTTTATAAAAAAAAACAATGTTTATTCTTAATCTCGGTATTCGGCTATTTTGCCGCGTTTGGATAAGAAATCTAATCTTGTCGTTCCACACGCCAGTCGCGTTGTACAACGCGTTTCAGGTTCGCGGGTCAAGAGAGCCTGGTCCACTTTCGAAAGCTTTCCGAAATTTTCTCCGCTGGAGATGAATCCAATAAACCGACGCAAGGGAGAGAACGCAAAAGAAGAGGAAGGGTACTGTCCCCGAAGCGGAAGAAGTGGCTCGTACGACGCTGGCTGCTGGCTGCCTGAATAGAAATTCAGCAGCATACAATCCCCATTATCCCTCGATTTGAAGTTCCGCGACAATGGAATCTCTCAGACGCGCCGTGCCCGCCGTCGCCGCCGCCGCCGCCGTCGTCCCCGTCGTCGTCCCCCGACTCAGCGTTCCGACATACAAGCCGATACCGCTTTGCCAGACATGAAATAGATAATTTCGACACGTCCATTTTCGTGCTTGGCAAAGACTCAAAATGATGAATCAGCCTTCGGACTCGGATATTAAATTGTCACGCAGAAAGACTCTTAAATATATTTACACTCGTAGCAATTTCTCTTTAAACATGTCGCGGATAGGCATCTTTTTTTTCTATATTAATCTTTTAGTTGTACAGCAAAGAGAAAGTTATCCTGAAAATACATACTTCCCGGATGAACTATTGATTTTGTTTTCAGACGCGTATGCGTTAATTACAATATCCCGAATAGAGAAAAGGCAATTGCAAACCATTGCGCTTGGCGAACAATGAAATCGCCGTTGCACTGCAAATTATTTAGACATAAAGGGGAGAAAATGAGATAAACCGACGCAGACTTTTTTCCGTCGTAATCATCTTAGGCAATTCTTACGTTAAAATCACTGCACCGGCAGGAGGGTCGCAGACGGTGCAGATGGAAAATTAGACGGCTAAAACCGGTAGCCAGACGACGGAGTATTTGCTAGGCAAACGAAACACGATTACCAGAAGCACTAGCCGTAACCGAGAAACGAAGACGTGTACGCGAGGAGAATAGGGGGTATTACACTGTTTGTCTTACATACCTACGTATTACCGTAAATGCCTTATTAACAATATTGTCTGCGCCTAGTCTATATACGGCGTAGTCAACAGTCTGCTACTTTTATCCCCTTGTGTGCACAAGGTCGGCCTGGTCCTGCAGACTTCCATTGTGTACCGGCCATAGTAAACATTACCCTCCATAAAATGGACGGTGGAATATTACGTACAATCTCCCGAAGTAGTTCGCAGCGATGATACCGCGTAAAGAAAAATCGCGGACGGAACTATAATTTCATAGCTTTATGATAGAGAAAAGCGGCGACGGTAAAACCGACTTTTATCCCCGCGGTTATATCACGGCACTCCAATCTGATAGAACTAATAAAGTTAAAGATTAATGGTACAGCGTCTCGTATATCCGGTGTCCTCGGTTGAAGTCAGCGTCTTAGGTAGCGGCGGTATTATTTTCAAATGTCACCAGAGTGCGGCGAAAGGTGGTCTTCAGTCTTTCAGATTATGAAATTCAGGTGATAAACGTTCTTCTCCAATCGTATTTACCGAATCGCTCCGCGTAAGGAAAATGACTCGAGACGTTCGCGTCATCTTTGCGAGCGTTTGCGTTCGGCGTAAAGGTGAAAGTGCTCTCAGACGAGTCGCGTAAAGAATCTGTTTACACGTCGACGGAGTTTATCGGCGAGGGGGCACGTCGAATCTCGCGGAGAGCACCGAGGCGACGATTAAGCCTTAGAGCGAGAAGGTTCGACGAGGTGGAATGCAGAAACAAGTTGACGGAGGGACCATGACTCATAGGCACATTTAGAGCTGGAACACTTCAAAGAGTTGGTTGGGTACCAGTTCACCCCGATGAACCGGTGTATACCGACGCGTTACAAGAGCGCGGCAGATCCCTTTCAGATTTAATGTAATGTAAATATCTGCGGCAGTGCAAACGCCTGGCTTTTCGCCAGTTAATTGGCCGTGTGACTGGTCGGTGCACAGAGCCGAAAAAATCTCAAACAGCTCGATAAGCGTAATTAATATATTACAGAAATTACGAGCAAGCCTGGCGAAAATCGTGAGACAATAGAAAGTTCCAGCCGTTTTTCGCTAGTGTGTTTGAAGAATTTCATTTTTAAATGGGTGTAATTTGTAAAATTGTATATATTATTTGAATAGAACGGAAAATTAGTTATATTATATTTACATTACCTCAAATATCATACGTGCTCCGGCACAAAGAATTAAAAATTTAAAATCAAATTTACGTGAATAAATCCCACGTTCTCGACCCTCTAACCCTAACGTAATGAACGCCTTTGTTTGACAAAACAAAGCCCGCTCAACTCCCGGAATTAATTGACTTACGTCAAAATTATCCTTTGTTATTGAAAAATATTAAATTTTACCCTAGAATATAAGCGTTGCAAATGTTTAAAAAGGTAGAGATGTCTCTTTATTGATTTTACGTTAAAAGATAGCGCGAGTTAAAAATTAAATGCTGCGAAAGTCCAAACCAGACATAAAAAACGATCTATTTATCACGAGTCCCATGAAAATTTACACTTTAATCACCCGGTACATCAAATCGCGACATTATAAGTAAGAAATTATGCAAAATATTATTACAAGTAATAATCTCTCGTATGTTCTAGTTGGTAACAGAAAAGTTAGAACCCCTTCACTCGTCGCGTCGCACGACGGTTTAGATGCAAAACTGATTCTCAAAATAAACAACAATAAACATTGCTGTCGCTCGAGCACAACGAGTTTCACGGTAACGAATTACTTTCCAGGAATCGCTCGTCAAAATAAACAAGTCCCTTACCTTGCTGCACGTAGGAGACCAACTGCCTGCTCCAAGTTCCTCTGTCGCAACAATTTCTGGATTCTCTTCATGGTGTCCGCTCTGCAAAATAAAAAAAGAAGCACGTGAAACGTACGGTCGATCATTTCCGCAAACATCGATAATAAATATTATTCTGCTTGTCCGTCACAACGCTAGCACGTACTTTTGATCGTCGATAGGCGTATTTAACGTTGCGTCAAACGGCACCATTACAGGTATAACGCCATCGCGCATAACGGCAGATAATTCGATATCGACAATATCCCAACGTTCCTCCAAAGTAGGAGCTGCGGTTACGTTGCTCCGAGTGGGTTCTGGGTTCTCTAAAAACAAAAAAAATCGAACGATATTGTCCGCATCAAAATTTAACTCCATTTTACTTAAAATTCTTGAGCGCAATCAATACGCGCGCGGATCTTACTTTTATTCCTTTTAGCCTTTCTTCTCTTCGCCTTGACTTTTTGAACCACGAGATGCCGTTGGCCCCTCTGGCAAAAGTGCTCGAGCATTTTTAGAAATATGTGAGCAGTCGTTACAAGATCCACCAAGTACTGCCTGAAAGTTGCGCGTATTCGTGTAATTACATTGTTTTAAGCTGACGGTAAACTTAAACCGCCTTCCTTCCTTCCTCGTGACAAGAAATTAATTCAATCCCGCTACTCGCGCATTAATTTGTCAATTTAGTTCCGGCAACGTGCACTACCGCCATCAAAGCCAAAGTTTGACGGAACCGTCGTCCTGTTTTCGTCAGCGTCCCCGTAACGTCAAAGTAGTAGCAACGTGGCATTGCGGTACGTCGCGCCGCCCTTACATTTCCGTCGTGGAAATCCGCGCAAAACCCGTCAAACTCGTAGCAAGTTGAACGCCCACTGCCTTTTCCCATTTCGCCGGCCGGAAGGTCGATAAAAGTTGTTTATTCCGCCGAGGAACCGTAGAAGGGAGGAAGAAACCGGGCGGGTGCGAGCTACCGAGACCAGCCGCCGAAGAAGAGAAATAGTCGAAAAGGAACGGCATCCGAGGGAGCCGGAGTGGCTTCCTGGCTGGTCGAACCGATTGATCCGAAAGTGAATCAATCTGTCTGCGGTAGATAAAACTTTCGGTAAAGAGTTCTCTCTCCTCTCTTCCCCCCCCCCCTCTCTCTCTCTCTCTCTCTCTCACTCATTCACTCTCTTTCTCTCCCCTTCTCCCTCTCTCTCTTTCTTCTTCCTCGCTCCATGACGCGGATTCACACGTACAGACGTGAATTGTTGGACGTAGGGCGACGCGTCGCATAACTTTTCGCGATACTTGCATTACTACAGCCTGCTAAAAATTCGCCAAGGATCCGCAAGGGATTCGCGAAGAGTAGCAACTTATTCTGCCGAATGAAAAGGGGACCGACGGACGAAACCAACGACCGGCTTACCGAAAACAACTACTGATTTGTGGGAAGTGGGCGCGATTACGAGATCCAATTCTTTTTCCCTTGATAATTTTTATCAATCGCGTTCTTTAAAAAAAATGTTAAATAATCAAGATGACGAAAGTTGCACGGTTTATTCCGTACGGTGGTAGCTGCGATGGTGAAAGTCTCTTCACTCACCGTGACATTTTAACCTCGTCGAAGCACAAAAGCTGAGAGAGTATCGTTTCCCGATATTCCAGGACATAGAAGATATTGCTTTTAATTATCTTGCTGGATTCTCTAACACCATCGTCTGTGCTCTTATCCATCGCCATGAGAGTGTTAAGAAGCTCCTGAAACGCGAAATAGATTTTCATTTAGCTTCTTCAAACATCGACGCGCAACGCTGATTATCGTGCAATTACCTGATATGCCTTTAATCCCAAATGCAATCTACGAGACCAAAGCGGTATCTTTTTCTTGTCAACTACAATCATCTCATAGTATTGTACCATTTGCCTTTGGACCAAATAAAACACTTCCGTGGATATGGTTTCGCTGAATAATAAAATAATAATGTTTTGTATCACCTGTTATTAATAATACTCGAACTTTTAATTCGCGCTAGGTATATAAAATGAAAAACAGAATGTTTCACACATGTTTTCGATTGTAAAAAAAAAAAATTGGTGTCGGTTAAACAATCTGTCGGTAAAATGTGATCCGACAGAAATAGCGGAGGCGCGTAGCGCAGATAACGAATCGCAAACAAACTTCGAACTGTATGATGCACGTTTTGTTTTAAACGAGACATGCGTAAATGTCGCAGTTACCCAACTTCATAATCTAAAGTAAATTTTAATACGAAGAAAAAGTTGCTACTTCGGAGAAATAATATTAATGCGGACGGGCCGCGGGGGTAACAGTGGCGATTCGCTAGTTTCCGTATTTGCGAACGTCGTAAAAATTATCCCGCGACGTAAAGTTAGATGGCTCGGCCTGTACACACGGACGCTGGAGAATTTTCTCTTTAGACAAGATCCGAAAGAAAGCGACGATGCGTAAAACGAGTTCGTAAACTGTCTCCCTTTCTGCCTCTTTAGCCGAGGTATGCGACAATGTAGACGGTATGAGAAAGTTGAGGTGCCAAGAGATTTTACCTCACATATTTCACCTGGAACTTGTAATGTCGATTGAACTCCATGAAGAAGCGCAAGGCCCACAGATAGACAGCCGTTTCCGCCGCCTGGCCCTGGACGTCGTTGATGAAGCAAGACCTACAGAATCTCATCACGGGATTGTAAGCGCCGCTTAGGAACTCGACGCAAAACTCTTTCAGAAAGAGCCGCACGCTGAGGGCAGACGTGCGCTCCTCCTTGGTGTCCTGCGGGCCGATTTTATCTTTGCGCCGCTTCACTCTTTTCTGTAACAAGAGACACGTGTCTTCTACTCATAGGCTGAGCGTCCCATTGAATAAGCTCAAGCTTGCGAAGAGAGAGACAGAGAAGATTTAAGGAGACTTTCTTTCTCTGCCTCGCCATCGAGACAAAGAAGGCGCAGGCACGATTCTTCTCTTTTACGAGGGTGTAAGATAGAGAAAGAAAGTCTTCTTAAATATATATCTCTCTCTCCACAAGCTTCAGCTTATTCACTGGGACGCTCAGTCCATATTTACTATGCTTCTACTATTACATTCAATCGAGTTATCTCGATACTCTCGGACGTTCTCAGAAGCAAAAAGGAGAAGAGAGCAAGAAACTAATCATGAAAATTCACCTGATTGTGGCCGAATTCTAGTGCGTCGATCTTTTGGTACGGCTTATGGCAGATCAGTGGATTTTCTCCGGTAGCTTTCATATTCTCCACAACGTAAGTACCGCCGAATCGTGAGTGTCTGATTGATCGAATGAAAACACGATATTAGACGTTACAGCTGCTTATCCCGCGAAGCGGGATGCATTGTCGAATCTCTCGCGAGGTGCGAACGTAATGTATCTTCGAATACGATATACAATATTGGGAGAACGGTACGTGCGTGCACGTTTCGTGGAGAAATTGGATTTCTTATTTAGTTTTCGCCGTTCCCTTCCGTCTCCGAATTGAGAAGTGAGAATAACGCGATCCCTCGCTACTAAAAAAGAGAACTGATTATTCAAATCCAATTTCAGCCATGAGTCCCCGCGAAGATTCAATCAATGGAATAGAAGACAGCTGTCAACAGCAGATAGTTTCCTAAATGACGAAGACGCGCACTCCACTCACCCTCTCCCACTTCCTCTCCCGCGAGAGAGGCCTAGGGCCTCCCCGCTCGGTCGCCCCGCGAAATATTTTTTAACAAACAACTCCCCCTCGAAAGCGCTTGTTTATCGAAGCGTATGAGAAGCATTGTCGCAAATGGAATTCTGATAACTTTTCATTTGCATTTATCCGCGTGGAAACGTTACAATTTTTTAAGGGGAGGGGGTGGGGGAGGAGAGTAATTTCGAACGGCGCAGAACCCCGGCGGTTCCCGTACGGGAAGTAACGCGGAAACAATAAATGGAAATAAATAAAATAATAAAAAACGATGCGGCGAGCGCACGTACGCGGGCGCGCAGCTATCCAATTTTGTTCCTATGTTTACTATTGCTATCAAAAAGAGATCTGTGTTCGTGACACAGCTAGGCGCTGCTTTATCGTTTTCCGATCAAATTATCTTCCCATCGATCGGCACGAGAACACGCGGAAGGCGGAGGGGATCTTTTCACCGCACATCCAGTCCCTTTCAACTCGTAAAAAGCCTTTCGCAAAGACGTGGATGCGCGCATCCACGGGCTTCTGGAACGCGCTCGTTACAAGAATACGGCTCGCTTCTCCCCAACAAGTGGATAAAAGCTTCTATTCACGCCGCCCAGGGTGGTCCTACCTTAAAAACTAGGTCATATTCATTACACGCATATCGCGGGAACACACCGCGGTAATTCCCAAAGGCGTCCGTCAAGCAGCAATCGGCACCTTTTAGTCATCCCCATTTTTACAATCACGGGCTTTTAGCTGCGGCCGCTCATTAAAGCGGTAATTTCGCAGTAGCTAACCCGCGCTACGTGCATTCTCCCGTGTGTCACGGCAAAAACGCACGGATAATACCGGCCCGGCGTATGAATAAAGCTGAATTAAGGTCGCAGATGTTGCTACGACGCGGCGCTCGGATAAGTCGGCAAATTAACCGCGTGGATATTCAAAAGGGGCGACTTTTAACTCCGGCAATCGTCGATCCCGGGCGAATCTTTCCGGAGCAATTGAAACGCCCGTGCGTTACGAGTTTTACATCGTGCCGGATATTGCTTTAAACTCGTTGGAAAAATTAATTTACACAATATATTTTTCAAATTTATATATGCCGCGGCGCGGGACAGAATGCAACTTGTCGTTATTGTTATTTTACAGGCGGAGCGTCCAGAAATTCGCGCAATTTGGGATGCACAATGTGACTCCCTCTTGCCAGATATCGTGCCCGGTTATTTCTGCAAATCTTCAGAGAAATGGTAAAACGGTCTGCAGGCGCGCGCGCGCGCCGCCCCTGATTCATGCAAAATTTAAGGGGCACCGTTAGCTTTAAATTGCGCTCATTTAAAAACTACCGCTCGGACGCAATTTTGCCGCCGGGGAAAAAGCGCCGTCTCTCTGCCGGGAAAAATCGCAATGCACTTGTCAAGCGCGCGAATTTCGGGAGCGTTCAATCGCACGCCCGCGCTACGCTATTGATAAACGAATAAATCTCTCGCCGATTAATAATAATACACGGGGACTTACCGCGATCCAGCGTACTTCTTTACTTTGTCCATTTTTTCGCGTAGCTCTTTTTGCCGCATGGCTACGAGGCAAGCCTCGTCATTTTCCCTCTCGGCGGTGCCATGTTGCAGCCCAGATGCAGCCAGCAGGCTTGCATTTTGCTCACGTAACATTAAAGATATAATCTAGCCGGGTATGAAAGTAATACTGTTATTTACGAGTAACAAGCAACAAGTTCTTAATGACGGTGCTATTTTCATAGACTTATCTCGAATGTAATGCACAAAATAAAGTAAGTAACCGCACAGCCGCCCGTGCCGTGTGTGTTACCTCTAAAATTTGCATGTGATACTGTTGTTCCTTATTGCTGCTGACAATGAACAGCAAAATGTCCACTATGCCCGAGGCATGGAACGCAAACAGCAGCTATAAAAAGGAAAAGAAGCTCTGTACGTCGCTCAAGACAGCACTCGATACCGCGCGTTAAAAGAGAAATAAAAAATTTGTCTAAGCGTTAACGCGGCCAATTCACCTCGTCGTGAACAGTAGCGTCGTTATCGGCCCTCTTCTCGTTATCGTTAGGCGGCACTTGCAGTACGTTTCTAACGAAAGCGAGTATTCTTTCGATCGTCAACTCGTCGTCCTCCCCTCTCTCCGGGCCATCCTACAAAATAAGAGCGATCTTACAACCGACGGACCATCTATATCGCAGGAACGGGAGGGAACGCGTCCCTACTTACAACGTTAAGTAGACTCGCCAAACGACCGGCCACCGCCGACCACACCGCCTCGTCGGCCAACGCCGCCTTGTACTCTTGCAAATACGAGACGAGCCTCTGATACAAGCTATACGCCGTCTTCTCGCTCGGTATCTGTTCGTTGTAAATCACGAACGCGGAGCTCGTCAGGTTAATAAGTAATCTGTTTAAGAGAAAGAGACGAAGGGTGTTTAGTCGTGCCGTCGCGGCAATTATGAGAGTCATGTCCCATACGATTCAGCATATTCAACTCTACTCGCACGTACCGCAGCAGGACGTCCCAGAGCTCGGTTTTCTCAACGTGATGTATTAGTATCTTTACAAGATCCGTCTGCAGTAATCTCGTTTGTCCGAGGAAGCGTCTTATAGTGTGCGTGTCGTCGTCCCTCTTAAGGTATCTAATGAGATCCTTCACGACATCTGCCAAGAAATTTATCGTACCGTCAAACGTTAGCTCACCCCGCTCGGATACGTCGAATGTACTGTAACTGCATTTGTATATCGCGATGTGAAATCAAGGCAAATATCTTCACCCAGGCAATTTTTGTCCAAGTGATAGGCGGTCCCGTCGAAGTATCCGATGACGGCGCAAGTGGCGGTGAGCTCGGCGGACAGATAGTCCGTCATGTTTCGAGCGATTTGCACCGCCAAGTTTTCAGCGTGCGATATTTATCCCTCGGACCGTCGGCGATTTTAGTACGCGCGGCCACAGCGACTTCCGATTTCGCTCTCGATTTCGCTGGCCTGCCGTTAAAAATAATGAAAAGCTTCAGTGTTGTCTTCGAAATATCTGGCGTTTTTAATAATACAGGAAATTTATTGCGAGAAATATTACCTCGGCCAGGGTTTGGACTTGCCGGGCGTCTCGCCAGAAATAATCAAGTCCAGTAAATACGCAAAGATACCAGAACGGATTCGCTTCGATTTATCGGCAACTTGTCTTTGTGTCGACTACGGATCGAGATTGAGACTCGATTGAAATTTCACCAATTAGAGCGAGAGTCACTGAACTTGAGATCAGCAAACTTTACTGTGATCGGTGAAAATTCTGATCTCAATCTGTGGTCAGGGGGTCAATTCTGTATCTTACTCTCTAAAATTTGTGGAGTGAAAATACTGCCATGGAGTGAAATGTTTACTCCATTGGAGTTAATATTCACTCTGTTGGAGGAAATATTCACGCCAATAGGGTGAACATTTCACTCCATGGCAGTATTTTCACTCCACAAATTTTTACGTTACAGTGAAAATGCCAAAAGGGACGGCTTTGTCTCTCCCTAGCCGTCCCTTTGGAAGGAGACAAAGCCTTCTAGCACTTTCACTGTAATGTAAGATACAGAACTGACCTCCTGATACGCGCCCAGAAAAATATATACTACCTGCAAGTATTGTTATTTGTTCCAAGTATTTGATAAGTTTATACATCAGCAAATCTATCATAGTGTCGTCGCAAGTGCTACATTAACTCAAAACATATTCTGGTTCTTAGTAAGTCTAGTACTTGAAGCAAGAATACATAGGACTATTTGAAGCAAAACTATGTTGTTTCTTCCAACTTTATTAAAAGAAGCACACGGAATTGTTCGATAAAGTTTTGTAATTTTTTTCAAAGAAGAATAAATTCTTCCTTTGAGTGTAAGATGGCAAGCTTTTCTAAGACTAGTAACAAGTATATCTTAAAACTATTAAGAAAATTTCTTTGTTGAAGCAAACTATTACTTAAACGCAATAAAATTAACTGAGTAATTACTTTTCTTGACTGTACAATAATAGCTGCTTTCCTTTTACACTCAAGTGATACTGAGTCAGGGCGTTTTCCAGCAAAGACACAATGTGACACTTGTTGTTTGCCAATGTTAAACAAGGACGAAACGATTCACTGTGTTACACTGTGTCCCTGCTGGAAAACGCCCTCACTCAGTTACGTGAGTATTTTATACTCAGAACGTCATTAATGTAAGTCTATGAAGGCTGATCTACGTGTCCTTTGCGTCTAGAAACATTCCATTTTCTAGCCAATAAATACGTTTGCAAAATTTGGGCAAGTTGATAAATTGTGCATTATACATTGTACAATCGCAAATTGTCGGCAAGTTTGTTAAGCGTTTACGATTTGTTTACATAAAATAGAATGTTTCTAGATGCAGAAAGCACATTGTAGATTAGGCTTCAAACTCACTAAAGCACACGGTCTTGATCGTGCGCGAAAACTCAGTTAAATCTGGTTGAATCTCACTTCTCGAGAATCAAAAGGAACGAGCATTCAACTGAGTTATCACGTCACAAGTGAGATTTATCCGAGCTTCATGTAAAAGGAAAGCAGCTAATATTTTTCTGTGCGCGGGCCTCGCAGAGTCGGGGACCGATTACAAAAATGAGCCGGCTTCGTTGCCGAACGCGACAAGAAGCGGCCGACAACGGCCTCTCTTCCGAAATTAGCGAGACAACGTCCACTTAGAAACACTCACCAGAGCCGGCTTGACAACACACGACACGACAAGTCCGTACAGCCCGCAGTGGAGGATCCAGGCGCCGCGTTTCTAGGTTATGTCACACGCGCGCGCTTTGTCCCGCGGAAATAAAGCGCTCGCCGGGACGGGACGCACGCCCGCACGCTCGGAACAGCCGGCACGAGACGCCGTCACGGGAAGCGTCAAGCTGTCACCGCGGCCGTCGGCGCTTCTCCGAGAAAACCGAAAACAATCGCGCGCGCACACACACGCGCCCGCACACACCACCGAACGCAACAGGTGAGAGCGGAAAAGCGCGCGAACCGAGCGGACGGCCGGCTTCGCGCGGTCACGTGACCGGTCGTTCGGCCGCGCTCGGCTCTCTCCGCCCCGAGACCGATCGCGGCTGGTCGCGGCGCGGCTCGCGCGCGGTCGAAGGTCGGACGGAACGGCGCGCGGCGTAGCGCCGGGGTAAGTTGTCGTTCGTCTCGTTGCCCGACGCGGCTATTTTCGCCTTCCGCGCTGATAAACGTGGCGGACGTAACGTAAGATCGCCGGCGCGTGGAGGGAGAGCGGGCGGAAAGACGTGGAAGGAGAGCAGGCGCGCGACGATCGTCTCGCTCGGCGGTCGCAAAATGGCGCGTCTCCCGCCGAACGTTTCGGTAGTTGCGCGCCGAAACTGGAGCCGCCGTTTTCTCGCGCGGTATCGGCGGAATATCCGGCGCGTATACGGGGAAGATTCGGGAACGTCGAGGCGTCGGCGGACCCCGGCGTTCACTCGCGGCCGAGAATCTTGGCGAGTCGCGTTTCCCCCGAGGAGGGCCTTGGTTTCTTGGTCGACGGAACTTTTAGCGAAGTCAGTCGCGCTGGTGCGCACTGATTGGCGAGCGCGGTCAATTTTTATACTTGAGGTCGTCTCACAGCGAATACGGTTGCCTCCCTTACGGAAGGAACGCTCGAGTTTCGAGCGTTAACACTCGATCGTCCGAGTTCGCTCTCAAATTCGAGCGCGGACAGCCGGATTGTAAAATTTACGCCCGAAAAAGCGATTTCTCGTCCCTTCGATCGCGAGGCTTTGTACTCTTGCGTGCGAACGAGAGAGAACGGAATAGCACGAAACGGAGTTTGTCCTTTTCCACGTGAACCTCTACCCTCGTCGCTCAATGCTCGGTCTAGGTATATTACGTCTATTCGCGAAACGGACCCGAGATGAAGGAAGGCAGAGACATAGTAAATATAGACTTGAGCGCCCCATTGAATAAGCTGAAACTTGTGAAGAGAGAGAGAGAGAGGGAGAGACAGAGAAGATTTAAGAAGACTTTCTTTCTCTGTCTCACCATCGAGACGAAGGAGGCGCAGGCACGATTCTTTTCTTGTACGATGGTGACAGAGAAAGAAAGTCTTCTTAAATCTTCTCTCTCTCTCTCTCTCTCTCTCTTCACAAGCTTCAGCTTAAAGTCAACGGCACACGATACAATTTTTCCTACTGGATCGCTCACGAGAGCCAATCAGGACACAGAGTTTTCGGTCAGTTGACTCAAAGCTGCATCCTGATATTGGCCAGCGGCACACGATACTATTTTTCCTACTGGTTCGCTTGCGAGAGCCAATCAGGATTCAGCTTCGAGCCACCTGACCGAAAACTCTCCGCATCCCGATTGGCTCTCGTAAGCGATCCAGTAGGAAAACTGATATTATCGTGTGCCGTTGGCTTTATTCAATGGGGGGAACGCTCGGTCCTGTACTCACCGTGTCTATGAAGGAAGGCGAGCCAGCGGAGCGTTCGTTATCGCGCGTTTAGGCTTTTTCGATTTACGCCGCCCCGGCGCGGCGCGGGGACGTCCATTATGTCGTCGGCGCGATACGAGGCAGTGCTTTCGGCGGGCAATCTGCTGATAGACGTCGCCCGCAAAGGAGGAAAATAAAGCCATAAATCCAATTTCGTCGCGGTAGGTACGAGAGGGGGCGCCGCGGGGCGGACGGACGGCCGGACGAACGAGAGTGCAACACCCCCGCGCACACGCACACACACCCACACACAGGCGGTCGAGGAAGCAGCGGCGAGGTCGGGTAAGTACAAGAGATCGAATAATACGCGAGATCGAAGGGTCGGCCGACACGGCCGGAAAATGATGGGCCAAGGGGGCAGGAGGGGGAGGGCTAAGGGGGAGGACGACACACGAGGGTGTCGACGCGTTTTGATGGTCGCGGCTGCACGGACATTCGACGGCTAATCGATATCATCGAAGGTATCCGGGTCATCGGGTTATCGGCCAGTCGTCCGCACCTGTCCGCTTATTTCGTCAGCGCCGCGTCAGTGTTCTATGACAGCCCGCTCTCTCTCTCTCTGTGTGTGCACTTTGCGCTTTGTGACGCGCACGCCGGCGGTTTTTGCGCCCGGGACGCCCGCGGAAAATTGCCCGAGCGCAGTCGAGCTGCTCTTTTCGAATCGATTCGCCGCGTACACGCGCGTCGACACGCGGCGCGATTTGATATGTTTCGTCTGTCTCTCTCTCTCTCTCTCACCCTCTCCCGCGCCGTCTCTTTCTCTCCGCCCGCGCGCGGCAACAGACTCCGCTCCGCGATATCCAATTCACGCGTAATACCTAATACGAAAGAGTCACCGAGACACACGAGAATCGTACGAGTTGCGCGAAATATCCCGCGCGAATTTTGTCTCTCCTCGCACGGTGCAAAACCGGGGATCTACCGCGTGTCCTTTGCGTCCGGTAAGATTCTGCCTCGTAGCCAATAAGTACGTTCGAAAGGCTTCAAAACTGCTACGCGATGAACCGTACATTATATCGCACCCTGTGCAATCGTGAATTCGTGCGACAATTACTCTCGAGGCCCCTCCGACTCGATTCTACGGAACGGAGTTGTTTCTAGAGCACGATGTAGATGAAGCCTGCGAGAAAAATCGCGATCGTTTCGCCCGAACGCCACCCGTGCTCGCAATTATGCGCACGTGCGATTATTTATCTTCGTAAAGCCCCGCGGTCGTTATATTATTACATTGATTAAACCGAGAGTTAAATAACATTGAGATACAATATTAATTGCTTGTTTGCATCCTCGCTCCTCCTCTTTCGCGCTCTCTCTCTCTCTCGAGCTGGAAGAGCCGAAAAATTAACAAAATATGTTGAAACTGTAAGGGAATAAATATAATGTGACGTGATTCTACGAGGGGGAGGGGTAATCAGTTCTCTTTGAAGTCGCAGAATACAATTGGGGGGGGGGGAACTGACGTGTTTTGCGGCGCGCCGTGTAAACAGCGCGGCGCTTGGTCGCGAGCCCTTTCGATTTTTGATGGAGTTACATTAACGCCCGGTGAAAATGCAAAAATTTCAAGTCGGATATATTCATCGCGGAAATTACGCCGCGCGCCGGCGACGGGCGAGCCGCTTTTATGCGTTGCGCTAATGAGCAATAACGGCGATAGCGCCCCGGCGGTCTGTGAATAAAACGCAAAATCGTGCCGTTTATTGTTCGCCGAAAGTATTGTTTCGACGGTTAATTGCCGTTTCATCTATACCGGCGAATGATACCTCATTAAGGGAGACAACGGATTTCGGATTATGGATTTCGATTGTGCGAGCCCGAAAATCGCGCGCCGAAATAACGCGCCGGAAAGCGTTTCAAGGTACACCGAGGGGTCGTCGTCGCGTCGCCCAGACAATTTTCATGCAAACTTTTTCCCGCGTAGAAACCAGTGCGCGGAGAGAATTTTCTTCTAAAATTTACCCCGAAAAATCGTGTAATCGTGGGACAACGTGGCGTTTTGAGGAACTTGATGTGAGTTTAATTATACTTGGTGTACATTTTGCCAGCAAAATGGACGGTAAAATTTCAAGGAGCTCTCATAAAATTCTTGGAAACGCCACGTTGCCCCGCGATTAGACGATTTTCAGAATGAATTTTAAGAGAAACTTCTCGCCGCGTGGCAGATTCATTGTCCGGCCATTATGACAAATGGGGTGGAAAGTGCGCGTGTGTTAACAACGGGGAAATGATAAATTTGGGACTAAATTTAATTAAAACTCCTTTGTAACAACTGTTTACGTATGGCGCGCCGGGTGAATCAGGAATTTCCCCTTTGCGGAATATTTTGAGAAAATTATTCTCGATTTTTCGCGAAAAATGTGTAACGCGAAAATATTATATATAAAGGGGTGGCTTTTTCACGGGCGCGCCGCCGCGCGCACCCAATAATAATTCGTCGCGCGTTGGCAATTGTGAAATTGTTGGTGATTTATACTGCTGCCTGTATTATAAAACACGGCACCGCTATGGTAATAATTAAATAAAATCGCGAAATGAATTATATTTTCTGCAGTCGCGTACGTGTGCCGGGGCAGGCGTGTTGGTTGCCGCGAGACGAAAATACCTTCCGTTCAATAGCTAGGCATTTCATACGTTGCCGCGTTATTTTTTATTTAATAAATAATATTTTAATTCATATTGTTTTTCAAACAAGACTCCAGTCCACTCTGAATACATGTGGCGGGTGGCGGTAGAAATTTTTCAATCTCTTCTAAAGCGAAACGAGAGGATGTGAAATGAAATGTACGCGCAATCTTCTCCGGAGATGAAAGAATGGCGCGCGTGCTTCAGAGTTAACGACATGCGCGCGGAATTATATAGCCTGTTCCGCCATGGATTCAATTAAGAACGTACTAACGGCAGAGGTTAATGCAAAATTAATCAGACGTCCCTATGCTCTTTAGACCGGGCATGCCGGGGACGTAGTTTTGCTTCTAATTTACGGCAAATTCCACGGGTTACTTCGTACTTTGATACGGAAAACTGTAAGTCTGTCGGGCTCACGAAGTTGGCAGCTAAATGTCGTGTGCATAATCTACTTGTTAACTAGTTAATTCAGTTAAGTTTTGTAAGTTCCGCCGCGCGTAAACATAACTGGCGGACGAGGCGAGTTGGAAAGCGGCAAATTTAGTCAAGCCGAAATAAAGCGATTGCGTTCCGCGCTATAAATTACGATCTCGCGAATACCCCTCGCGATTTTCTGGAAGGCAAACTCGGGGGGAGTTTGTTGCACCGGCCGTCTTTAAAACGGTTCTTGATACAATGGGTCACTCCGCGGGAATTCCAGCGCGAGCGCATTCACACCGTCGGCCTTCTTGCGCAAGGTATAAATTATTTCTCGTTAAACTTCAACAGAAATATTGCCTCACTCTTATGTTTTTGCCACTTTGCACAGAGAGATTACACGGGGGGCATTTTCTTGGTAAATCTACCCTGAAAATCATGTGAAATCGTGGAACAACGTGGCTTTTTCAACAACTTTATGAGAGTTTTTTGAAATTTTACCACACGTTTTACTAGTAAAATGTATTCTACGTACAATTACTAGTCAAAAGTGTGGTAAAATTTCAAGAAACTCTCATAAAATTCTTCAAAATGCCACGTTGCCCCGCGATTACACGATTTTCAGGATAAATTGTAAGAGAACATTCTCTCCGTGTACATCAGACACACTTGTTAGATTTTAAATAACAT